AATTACACAAGAGATGACGTATAAAGAAAACAATAATAGACTTGCGATAGTCAATAAACATTATTATATATAGCTTTTATTAATGGCGTAAGCTAAATTTTCACAAGCAACATCGACTTATTTTCACAATTTTCATTGTATGTAGTTTAATCATATTGTATATATTTAAACTTTTCTAATTGTTTTAAATTGCTAGTTTTCTTTGTTTTAATCTGTTTGTCCTATTTTGATTTGACACGGAGTTCAAGAAAGGATATAAGACTTTAGAATTCTGTGATATTAAATTAAAGTTATGTCAAACATACGAAAATATGCTTTAATATTGCAGTATCTAACATATCATATAGAAAGTAGGAATTAAAGAGTTGCTAAAAAAAGAAGAAAAAATCATTTTTTTAAAAAAGAACTAAAGAAAGTAGGACGAAACAAATTGAAATGAAGAAAGTATTTATTTTACAATATATTTTCAAATAGGGTTGGTTATATCTTAATATATATCATAAACATTTCGAAAACTAATAAGGATTGTGGTGGAGTGATAAGTATATATTTCTTCATTTTTTAATCAGAAATTTTACGTTCGAGCGCTACTAAATGTTATCTCCTATATTCAGGTTAGCTAAACAGAAACTGTAAAGATGAAGCAGGAAGACAAAAATGAAAAACTATCTGAGTCCACAAAACTGACTGTGTGTCCTTAAGAAATTTAATCCCCTCAAGTATCCGAAGTTGTAGATTAATTCCTCCCAAGGTAAATGGATTAAACATTAAAGAAGTAGCGATATCTCAAACTTCGATAATTTCAACGAACTCAAAAAGACAACAACGAGATCACACAGACACGATCGATGATTTTGTTTTTTTTAAGAGATGTATGCAAAAGTAAGGAAAATTTCAATTCAAAAAATGAGAGAAATCCTCTTTATTTATAGTCAACAAAGGGTAAAAGTCACAACTCTTTGGAAAAGTGACAACATTTCAGAAAGGTCAATATCCTTTAGAAAAGGCACACCCTTTCAAAGTTCAAATAGTCACAACTCTTTAGAAAAGACACAACCTTTCGTAAATGTCACAACCCTTCAGAAAATCACAACCCTTTAAAAAAGATGAAACCCTCCGGGAGAGTCACAACGCTTCATTTTCTATTCACACCTTTAAAAGTCATCACTAAATATAAAGTTGCCTTTGTTAGACCCTTCAATATAAAACTTTTCAATACGAATTCAAATTTAATTATACCAGTATGAATATCAAACATTTCGCAAGCCAAAGACAAATTTTTGGGTAGGGAGTAGGTGGGAGGGAGATTACAAGGGTATATGACCTTTTGTGCATGAGAGGATCATCATTATTAATCAATAATATTTATAATGAGCTTAATTAATTGATGCTTACATAGTATAAGTTTGTATTTTACGAGTATATCAAAATCAGTCACACATAATAAAGTTAACGTGAATAATAAATAATCTTTAGTGTTGTTTTTGGCTTGAATAAAGGTGGTAAAGTTATTCCTATTTTGCATGACATAATCAAAATGGAGCAATAATGCCTAGTTTCCTATCCACAGAACAAGAAGTGGTACATTTTCATGACACCCATTGGGCAACAACCCCTTAAATTAAGGTCTTATTTTTATCGGGTTAGAGAGAACATATTTTTATTAATTAATAACATCTTCAACATATTCCTTACGTGCGAGTCTAATTCTTTTTCATGGCCAAGCACATGAAAATTGAGATTCGATTTCAGGACCTATGCGCGTTCTGATACCATATTGAAATGTGTGATCATCTCATCTAAAAGCTTCAGTTGTTAGAGAGAATACACTTTTATTAGTTAATAATATTCTCAACATAAACTTCACATAATTTTTTTTATAATGAATTAGTCAACTAGATAATACATTATTCAAAAGTTATACAGTCATATCTACACCATGATAGAGTACAACTAAAATAATTAGTTTCAGTGTTTATGCATTATAGATCTAGAGTACAACATAATAGAATAAAAATAACGATTAGCTCAATTTTTTATTTTTTTTGCAAAAGCAGTTAAGCAAGTAAAGCATGAAACGAGTTTTTTGCTAAGCAAGTAAAGCATGAGTATAAGTGAATTTTAATAATATCTGTTTTTGGGTACGCAATAATTATGGTAATTAACCTGCTATTATAAATGAAATTACGATATATTTATCAACTTTACAACTTATATTTAGATTATTTATGTAATAATAAAGATATACGTAAGCTACTTTTATAATGTATTATGATTTACGCCACTGAAGAAAAAGAAAGATACTTAATAATTTTCTAAGTACGTAGTTGTTGATTTTTTAAAAGTCTTCAAAGTAAGTTTCAGTGTCAATCTGACTATACATACACACATATATACAAGCTTATGCCATCATAATTAATTTAATTTAGAGGAGCTTGCTAATTTTTATTGGTGTTAGCAGAGGTAAATTCAAAATCTAATTTAAATTTGATTGTGAGTTGTATTATAAATAATGACCTAATTTGATTTGAAACGTAATTTAAGAAAATAAAAATAGTCATAATTTTAAGTGACGTCAAATGTATCAAAATATCTTTTAATCGTGTGGATTTAAATATGCCACGTGAAAAACTAAAATTTAATTATTGTAAAAATAATAATATAAAAATCATTCTTTTTGAAATGAAAAAATACTAGTATTTATTATTTCATCATTGTATGGACATTTTATGAGAGGATCACTACATCAAAAATGATCTTTAGTGGCAATTAATTAACGACAATAATTCAATTGCCGCTAAATATGTATTTTTAGTGGCAATTAACACTCTTTGTATATGTCCCTAAAGCCTTTAGCGATACTGGATCTAAGACACTTAACTAATGTCGGTAAATACTTTAACACTCTTTATTAATATGTTTATTTATTGCTGCTAAAAGTTGTTTTTGTTGTAGTGATCAACATGATTTTTTGCGTACCCACAACACGAACTCTGATTAAGGGTGAAATAGTTTCACCATTTCACGACAATCTAATCCACGTAAGTTGAACCAATAAGAGTTAATGACTTGTTTGGAGCTACCAATTGTAAACACGTGGACAGCTTGGAAAATATAAGAAAAAAATCGACGCAGTACAGAAAATTTGACTTTAATAATGAAGTTGAAGTAGATAACTGTTGCTGACTCAGATTGGATAAATCTAAATTGGATAAAGGGAAAAAAATGATAAAATATTCTAACTTTATCTTTTAAAATTTTGAAAAATCTTAATACGTGCATGATTTTCATTAATAGAGGTAATTTCTGATAAATTTCTACGACAAGTATGTTTTAATCTCGTTTTCTTTTATTGAAATTTAAATATCTTAATTTGAATATATAACATTTTCTTTTATACATATATGAATATAATGTGCATAATCGATCGCCATTTTAAAAACTAATGGTGGCAATGGAAGATGATAGTGATTGTTGCAGTCACAAGAGTGTGATCTGGTGGTCAATGAAGTGATTTATAGTTATAAGGTCAACATGCTTAGATTTTAGTAGAAACAAAAAAAACACTAGGTAGTTCTTCTTATTTGTCATAGCCTAGAGGATCGAGTTACATGGTATATTTTACTGGTGAGAGGTGAAAAATATCTCGTAAAATTAATCAAAACCATCAAAAGCAAGCCCATACACCGCGATCATAAAAAAAAAGATGGTGGTTCATTGGCAAAGCGATATTTTGTTATAAGGTGATGACTCGTAGTGATAATTAATAAGTGGGGAGACCAGAGAGGTAATAATGAACATACAGTGATGACTAATGGTGATAGTTAACGATGAAAATAATTGTTGATAGTGATTAATGATAAATGCTAGTTATCTTGTGGTTGTTGGTGGTCCATGAATATACCATAATCGGAGTACTTAAAGAGGCTAAGGATTCTAACCTATTAATTAATTCTTGCTAAACTTAAAAATATTATGTTAGGAATATTATTATTATTATATATGGAATAATGATGTTGAATTCTGAGTTTTATATATATACACCGACTGTCTACTTGTTTTTGTTAATTACAAATATAGTTTGAATTTCCAATTCATGATAGTTATTTTTGCTTATCGAAATTTTATTTATTATGGAAAATAACCCTCATATATATATTAAAGGTAAAGCCAAGATTTAAAATCTATTACTTCAATTTGCTATATATATATATATATATATATATATTTTACTCGTTGTATTTTAAAAATTATTCATGTGCATATATAACTTTAAATTTATATGAAATCTTATGCTTTTAAATTAAGGATTCATAAAATGTACCCAAACTATTATTTAATTTGATGATCTTAAATATGTCATATGGAAAGATAAAATTAAAGAACTACCCCCTCTGTTCGTATTTATATGTGGTCTTTATTAAAAGTTGATGGTCCCTAATATTTGTCTTTTCATAAAATTAATACATAATTGATAGTACTATACGTCTCTTTTCCTATTTTACTATTGTGAGTCATTAGCCTTGAAAATATATATTTGACCAACATACAAAAATTAAGTAAATAATTCATGCCTATTTGTCAAATTAATTAATAGTCATTGATTGAAAACTTGGATTCAAAAAACATTAAACGAAAAAGGGTCTCATATACCCCTCAACTTTGTCATTTAGAGTTGATATATTCCTCGTTATGAAAGTGACTCATATATACCCTTACGTTATACAAATGACTCAAATAGAAATGAAGAAAGTATAAAAAAGAGATAAATTAATTAGAACAGAAAAAATTTAGACCGCTCCTTAGATTTTGAATTCAAACATTAAATATGAAAAAAAATATTTTTTTACAAAGTACGAATCTAAATTAATCAGGCTCTAATACATCGAACGGGACCAAAATGAAAAAGCAAAGGAAACGTCGCCGCTTGAAAGGAAATGACGTAGTCTTTGAGAAAATGCCTATAAATTCGTGGGCAATTGGGTCGGTTCATTCACACAATTCCATTTGTATGCAAATTCACTAACTACGTGTACTCTTCTCCCAAAATCTTGCAATTTTTTCTCCATTTCCATTTTCTCTCTGTTCTGTTTATTATCATCTACTTTCAGTTTGAAAAATCTTTATTTACAAAAAAAAAAAAAAAAAAAAAAAAAAACTTATCAATTTTACATTTTTACTAAACCTTAGTATTTGATCAATCATCATGTGTGGAATTTTGGCTTTGTTGGGTTGTTCGGATGATTCTCAGGCTAAAAGGGTTCGAGTTCTTGAGCTTTCTCGCAGGCAAATTATTTCCCCTTTCATTTTTCGATAAATTATTTATACATGTTATATGATCTAAATCAAATTATTGATTTCTGTCAAACTCGTGATTTTTAAGTGTAGATCTGTCTGTGCATTGAAGGGTTATTGACACTTATGTCCTTATCATGGGGCATAAGTATATATTTTCGTATTATAACTCATGGGGTATTAGTATTAAAGATTATTAGTGGGATATACGTTCATAAAATTAAAGATCATTTCATTTTTGAGGGTATTCGTGTAGTTTTTTTTGTGCATCGAGCTAGCGATAGAGACGAATTTGAAATTTCGAGCTTATTTCTTTTAAATATATTTATTTGAAATAAATGAATTCAGTTGAACCTGCGGAATTTGATTCTAGTAGAGTTTTATGTTGCATATATGTATAATTTTGTACATATATGTTTTTGCATTGTTCTAGTATTCTTTATGAATATTAAAAACTCCTAGTAAGCTAAAGTGACCTCCGTCTACTTTTAATTGTCATTGTTTCAAGTTAAACGATAACAACTTTGTTTATGTATTTTTTCATTATATTGATAAGAAAAAAATTGAAATTTATAATATTTTTCGTATAACTTTTTAATATTTAATTTTTTAATTTAAAAATTAAATTAACGTAATTTAATTTTTGAAAATTAGTCAGATTGATTTTCAAGATACATAACATGACAATTAAAAGTAGACAGAGGGAAAAGAGTATAAAGTTTATTTTGATGTAACTAACTCGAGTTGACACTTGGCAGTGATTGTTTGGATATTTGAATAAAAATAACATACTTTATGATAATTATTGATTCCTAACGTGGGATAAGAAATCTCTAGATTGATTATTAAAATTTTCTTGGACCAACCATCATGATTGATGTTGATGGGAACAAAGCTTTAATAGTTAATACAACACAATGTTTTTGTTTCACAAGTCCGGACAAGACAACTTTAGAGACAGATTCAGAATTTATTAGAATCTTTACTTAAATAATGAGTCGAATTCATTGTTTACTTTTTCTAAGTAGTATACCTTAATTATACTAGATTTGAAAGTACAATGAGTAAAAGTCGAATCTAGCAAAGATTAAATTTTGTATTCGACTTTTATAAGTGACGATATTGAATACAAAGTTAATTTTTGTAACAATAGGTTGAAGCATCGTGGACCGGATTGGAGTGGAATATTTCAATATGGTGATTTTTACTTGGCACATCAACGTCTAGCAATTATCGACCCTGCTTCTGGTGATCAACCTCTGTTTAATGAAGACAAAAAGATTGTTGTTACTGTGAGTACACCTCTACTCTACTGTTGTTCGGACTCTTCAAAAATGTTGTCGACTTGTCGTGTATGTATGTGTCATGTCTTTCGAAAATGTGCTACTTTTGGAGGATCTGGCAGGCACTAGTCGATATTTTTGAAGAGTTTGGAAGCAACATAATTTTAGACTTACATAAGGATGAAAAATTTGTTTGATGATTAATTTTGTGTCGAATTTTGCAGGTTAATGGAGAGATCTACAATCATGAAAAACTTCGAAAACTTATGCCTAATCACAAGTTTAGGACTGGAAGTGATTGTGATGTTATTGCTCATCTTGTGAGTATATAGTCTTACTTTATTTATCAACCAACTTAGGCTAGTGAATTATAATAGAAACATCGGGGCGTTTAGATACGCTTATAAGCTGGTTAAATTAACTTATAAGTAATTTTTGGTTTACTTGAGTTTTAATATATGTGTTGATCAGTATGAAGAATATGGAGAAAATTTTGTTGACATGCTGGATGGAGTGTTCTCTTTTGTATTATTGGATACTCGCGATAATAGCTTTCTTGCTGCTCGTGATGCCATCGGAATTACACCCCTCTATATTGGTTGGGGACTTGATGGTAGGATTTTTTATACAAATTTTCCAAATAGAAACTAATTATGTTGCTCGTACTCTTCAAAAATGTGACACGAGTTCATTTTTGGAGGGTCTGAACAACATAACAAACTAGAAGTGATATATGTTATTGTGTGTCACAGGCTCTGTGTGGATATCATCTGAGCTGAAGGGCTTGAATGATGATTGTGAACATTTTGAAGTTTTCCCTCCGGGGCACTTGTACTCTAGCAAGAACGGAGGGCTTAGGAGATGGTACAATCCCGCTTGGTTCTCTGAAGCAATTCCTTCCACTCCTTATGACACTTTGGTTCTGAGGCGTGCCTTCGAAAATGTGAGTATTTGTTATTATTTGGTATTAGTTTTGTTTGGGATGAATTAATCTAGGCTGTTTTCCTTTTGACTTTGGGTCTTAGTACCCGAGAAGTCTGTTGATCTTAATGAGTGGTTGTTATTTTGTAGGCTGTTATCAAACGGTTGATGACTGATGTCCCCTTTGGCGTTCTGCTCTCGGGGGGACTTGATTCGTCTTTGGTTGCTTCTGTCACTACTCGATACTTGGCTGGAACAAAAGCTGCTAAGCAATGGGGAGCACAACTTCATTCCTTCTGTGTTGGTCTCGAGGTGAGTCACTCCAGAAGCGGATCAAGAATTTAAACTTGATGGTTTCAACCTATACGTGCCCGTTGCATTTTTCAGTTGTGCATTTATAAATTTTTGTGTTTTACGATTGAACAGGGCTCACCAGATCTCAAGGCTGCAAAAGAAGTTGCTGACTTTTTAGGAACCGTTCACCATGAGTTTCACTTTACTGTTCAGGTTTGTAAATCGCGGTGTTACTTTTTATTTGATCTCGGGATTACCTTCTGTTTTCATGTTGTCAAACAACGCGTTTCATATTTGCAGGACGGTATTGATGCTATTGAAGATGTTATATATCATATCGAGACGTATGATGTAACAACAATAAGAGCCAGCACTCCTATGTTCCTTATGTCGCGTAAGATTAAATCACTAGGAGTGAAGATGGTCATATCAGGGGAAGGCGCTGACGAAATTTTTGGTGGTTACTTGTACTTCCACAAGGCTCCCAACAAGGAAGAGTTCCACACGGAAACATGTCGCAAGGTAATAATCGTTCTTGGAATATTGCCTTCTTGTTTCGAACCTCATTGAGACAGGACGAGTTTTAAAAAATGCTGATCTTGTTCTTCATTTATACGCGCAGATAAAAGCGCTTCACCAGTATGACTGTTTAAGAGCAAACAAGGCTACATCCGCGTGGGGCTTAGAAGCTAGAGTACCATTTCTGGATAAAGAGTTCATCGATGTTGCCATGAGTATCGATCCCGAATGGAAGATGGTAAGAAACTAAGCTCGAATCATTGATGAGAATAGACGTATAACTCGATATGCTTTCTCTGTACAGTCAGACCTTTTTATAACAATCATCCTCTATACCAACATTTCACTAAAACAACCATGTTCTTTTGTGTATCAGATTATTCATGTTAAGTTATATTATATGTTCTCTATAACAACATTTTGCTATAGCAACCAAAAGATATCACACCGGAACAGTGTTGTACTTGGGTTTGACTGTAACTTGTTTTGTCCATTTTAGATTAAGCATGATCAAGGAAGGATTGAGAAGTGGGTTCTTAGGAAGGCGTTTGATGATGAGGAGCAACCGTACCTTCCAAAGGTTGGAAGTCATATTTTTCGTGCTGATTTGCCAGTAGTTATGGATTAAAACTAACATGTCTGTCCTGTTTTTTGTGCCTTTGCAGCATATTCTGTACAGACAGAAAGAACAATTCAGCGATGGCGTAGGCTATAGTTGGATCGATGGCCTCAAAGCACATGCTGAACAACATGTGAGCTTACTACACAAATCCAAAACTATTCCAAGCATTATCGTTCAGTTTTCGTTGTTTTTTTCACTCTGTCAGCTGATCTTGTATACGATTTGTGTCTCTTAGGTGACTGATAGGATGATGCTTAATGCTGCTCATATCTTCCCACATAACACTCCGACTACAAAGGAAGGATACTATTACAGAATGATTTTCGAGAGGTTCTTCCCACAGGTAATATTAAGCAGGCGAGCTCTTAAAATCGAAACACTAGTACCATATACGAAAATATTTCATCCAGGGTAAAATGAAAAGCTTAAAGTTGTAGAGTTCCCAAATGTAGTAAGGTGTCTCGAAACACTAATACCATATCGGTTGTTGAATTTGCAGAACTCAGCAAGCCTGACCGTTCCTGGAGGACCGAGTATAGCTTGCAGCACGGCAAAAGCAATTGAGTGGGATGCTTCTTGGTCGAACAACCTTGATCCTTCCGGTAGGGCTGCTATCGGTGTACATAACTCTGCTTATGACAATCATCTATCTAGTGTTGCTAATGGGAATTTGGACACCCCGATCATCAATAATGTGCCAAAGATGGTAGGCGTGGGCGTGGCTGCAGAGCTCACAATAAGGAGCTAACTAGCACTACTCTTGCTGTCCATACTTGATGTTTGAAACATTAGCAGTATTATTGTTGTTGTTGTTATTATAGGAAGGATCAGCACGTCTTTTAGATATCCTGCTGCATAAAAGAGCATTGGGTCAATGTTTTAACTAGAATAAAAGATCAAAACCATATAGAGGTTTTGAAGTTCTTGAGCACCACTAATGTTCCAAGTTGTGGGGGCTCTAAGTTGATATCTAGTTGCTGTTTGTGGATAATTGTACTGTTTTTCCTTTTACCCTCAACTCTATTGACACTATATAGAGTGTCCTTCTGGACTTTGGAATGTTGGGATATGTAAAATATTGGTTATAGTTATCCTTCTTGTTTCAACTTTCTGAGTCGTTGTACATTGCTTTGCGACCCTATCCCTCACCTGAACAAAGGCGATTATGTTCATGCTTCAGATGATTTGGCTAGTTTCAACTTATTGAGTCCATGTACATTGCTTTGTGACACTCTCCCCTCACCTGAACAAAGGCGATTATGTTCATACTTCAGATGATTTGGCTAGTTTCAACTTTCTGAGTCCATCTACATTGCTTTGTGACCCTATCCCCTCACCTGAATAAAGACGATTATGTTATTGCTTCAGATGATTTGGCTAGTTTCAACTTTCTGAGTCCATCTACATTGCTTTGTGACCCTATCCCCTCACCTGAATAAAGACGATTATGTTATTGCTTCAGATGATTTGGCTAGTTTCAACTTTCTGAGTCCATGTACATCGCTCTGTGACCTTATCCCCTCACCTGAACAAAGGCGATTATGTTCATGCTTCGAATGATTTGACTAATTCAATATATACTTATCATCTGGCTAATTCAATATACAATTATTTCAAGGCGTAGAAGGGTGATTTGGAGTAATAGTAAAGTTTTCTCCTTATAAAAAGGTAATTGATGTTTGCATTAGAGTAGACTGCTTATATCACATTCTTTGTATGCGATTCTTTCACGAATCATGTGAGAACGCAAGATATTCCATGCACCTAATTCTCAACTCCACTCCTACACATATAAAGGCGTAAGGGCGAAGACCTATGTAATCATATACATAACATAAAAGTCAAAACTAGTAATGACAGCCCCATTTTCTGTTGGATCACAATCAAGGCGGCAAGTAATTCAGCAAAGAAAGCTTACAAAGAGAACACTTGTCAAAATGACATTGAAATGGATATGGATCATATAACCAAAGTTCAATAAAATGGACCAACAAAAAGTGAATAATTACAAAATGAACAAGATACTTTTTCTTAAAAACATTTACACCAATAGAAAGTAAAATTTTACTCAAGTACATGTTTGATCTTAGTAGATGTGAAATATGTGTTCCCTAAATATAATTTGCACCAATTGCCACCATGTGGTATCAAGCGCACTAAGGATTTCGTACTTGCTCAGCTGAATCTGATATATCATACGAGATTTATCTTTTCTATTGATTCGTGATAAATACTAACCACCTAGAAGAAAAGGGCAGTGTAAAATAGTTGATTCCAAGTATCAGGCAATCCAGCTAGACACCAATGACTACAATCAGCAGAGTGATCAGGATTTGCCTTTTGCTCTGAAGTGAGTGCACCACTATAGATAGAAGGGTGTGCATCTTTTCTCATAGCTGATAGAAATGTTATGTCCAAAATAAATGGAGGGTTGTTCATGTCTCTTATTACCTCATTCAACACCCCCATTTGATCCGGGAACGTGCCCGGATACGCCGTGCCGGTCATCGGCACGGTCTCACCGTAACACGTCCTCGCTGATGACGCGGTCGACGTGCCGGTGGTCCAATCGCTTGGGCTGATACAATTGAAAAAAAGTGTTAGTATAGGGTAAAATTCACAAGTAACCTTTGTCGTGAAGTTTCAAATTTCATAATGGAAGATACAATGTTGAAAAGTGGTTAGCCCGCTTTTTGCAAATGGTAAGAGTATAATATTAAATTAACAACCTCAATTAAAATTTCTAATTGTTTAGGTAGAAAGTTGTTGTTTATTTATTACATTATTATAGAACTACAATATATGTTCAGATTCGATTCTTTTTTATATATCAAGCACATGAAATTATTTCATTGATCGAATTATAACATCTTTTGCTTATTCTAATACCATGTAACATTGTGTTAACAAGTTAATCTAAAAAGTATAAGTTATTTATTTTTTCCCAATTTACAACAACTAATGAAATTATTTTATAGTGCATAATGATGATATGTCACTATGCCACCAACCAGACAAGTGACAAAACATATCATTAACTACTCCTACAATAGGCCAATAATAACGTTTTGTATTATTAATATTTATTATTTAAGTCTTAACAAACAAAACGGTTCGTCAACTGATTTAATTAGTTCATCTTGTCTCAACTAATTACACCAATAAGTATATAGAGTTAACACACTTACATAGTGAACAATAATGCTAATAAACCTAATAAGTAATGAATATTTGTGTGATTATAAATTACTTCACTATGAGATCAATTGAGCAGTAAGTTTTATGAGATCAATTGATCAGTAAGTTTTAGTTTAGACATATTAGGAGTATTGCATCATTGAAGTCATCGATAATCAACACTAAACTCACTGAACATTCAATTATTAAGAGACATTATCATGTGAGAATTACAACTAATCAATGAAATACTTAATGCATCATTGACGTAATTAGTTTTTTTTTTTTTTTACAAATATCCCTTTGTCATATTTTCATTTTTAGTTTGTTAAATTCTTTCCCCCTTTTTAACAAATCTTTAATTTCAGCATTTCACGTGACATATTTAAAATCTCAAGATTCGATATAACATGTAACATATTTTTTATTTAAAACAATAAAAAAAAATTAATTTTTTTTTTTACTTTCTTACACTTTGTATCAAATTAAAATAAGACAAATAAATTAAAATAGAGAGTAACCGTTTTCTTTTAAATTTAATTTCCACTTCATATCTTATCCAAAATACTTTTCAAATAACTTAATGTTGGCTTTGTCCAACTTGGAGGCTACTTAATTAATTTCATAGCTATGATTATTTATGACAGCTATGATGGGGCAGGTGGCCTTAACAAATTAGTAGTAAAAGTTTTTTTTGTTTTTTACCTTGACAATTACACCTTCTTCTTTAAAAAAAAATATATTTATCCTTTTTCAATTTGACACAAAATTTATATATATATAAAAAAAGAATATTTTAAAATTTATAATCTTAAATAATTAATATAAAAAATTGTGTGGTTATAAATTTCAAAAGTTTATGATCTTAAATATGTTAAGACTAATATTTATGTGATTATAATAGTTTTTTTCATTAATTAAGGCTAAAATAAAAAATTCACGTTAAATTATTTCTAAATTCAGAAGAGTGTTTTCTTTAAAACAAAATACTTGTAAGTAGTAGTGTCATTTTCATTTAGATCGGAGGAAATACTAAAGTGAGTCGATAAGCAATTTTGAAACCTCCATCTTTACCATATGTCTCAACTTTTCAAAAATGAAAAACCTTTCTATAGAGAGAACATTTTACGTACCCTATTAGTATACCTATTCAACATGACTCTGAATTAGTCGATCAAAGATGATTAAATTAGAGAGAGAGAGTTGACATACTTGTAATGTGTAGGTGAAATACCCTGAAAGAAGAGTTTTGTTCTACTTTTGTCAATATTGGCATCAATCCATCTTGCCCATGTCCTCAAGCCTCTCTCTAATGCCACTAGCCTATCCATATCTTGATACAATTTGCCTCCTAATTCCACATAGTCCCACCTGCATATTACCACATTTTTAGGTTTGAGTCCTCCTGGATATGATTTTTCTTTTATAAAGAGCATTTTACCTTTTTAATATAATTTTTTTATCGTAAAACTAAATTTAGTTGAATTTTAATATAAATATCACATTGATTAAAAAATCAAGCTAAACAAGTATTCACCAAATTTAAATTTCCACCTTTAAGTCGATCATGTCAACCATTATCACACTTCATTAATTATTCTAACTTCATTTGATTCACAACTATATAGTTTTTTGAAAAAGAAGGTGGAATACTCACATTTTTTCAAAAGTTCACTATAGTAATATCAGTTTTCAGGCATTTACCAATGATAATTAAGAAAAAAACATTCTCTCGTTTTAGAATTGACATAAAATTTAAGAAAGTAAATAATTTTTTTAAATCTTGTGATCTTAAACAAAAATTATATAAAATGTATTCAATTTTTTTTTTAAAATTTTGTGTTCTTAAACATATTGTGTGGAAAGATAAAATTAAAGAGTTACCAAAAAAGGAAGAAAGATATGTGTTTTAGAACAAACTAAGAAAAGTAAGATAAATAAATTGAAAAGAAAAAGTAACTTTATTTGGGTGAGACTAATATGATATTCAAATTAAAAATATGGAAATTTTAATTATATTTGGCGAAGGTAAGACTAAATGAAAGTAAGACACGTAAACATATTAAAAATGGAAGTATAAATTATTTATTTGGGTGAGAATATCAAAATTAAAGATGTGGGATTTTCAATTGTCTGGTGCCGGCTAGGAATGAAAGACTAAATGACATTCAAAAACATAAACGGACTAAAAATAAGTAAAACATCGTAAATAAAATAAAAATTCAAATGAAATTCTAAAGAAGAGACAAAATTGAGCAATAAATGTCAAAAAGTGAATGTAGGGCATGTGTATTGCCCTTGGAGATAACCTTTTTGAGCAGAGGCGAAGCTAGGTGGAGGTTCGTGGGTTCGGACGAACTCACTAGCTTTTTTGTAAATTCATTTGTATTAGAAAATTGAATAAATATATATGTATATTAACTTATGAATTTCCTAACAAAATTGATGAACAACTCAGTGGTAAGGAAGAGCGGTGAAAATGCTTTTCACAATAGTGTTGTGGATTCGAAAGAATCCTCAAACTCCTAATCTTGGCTCCGCCTCTGTTTTTGAGTCCACCAATGACAAATATCGAAATAGAGAGAACATCTAACATGATATTCAAATATGTGGGGATCTTAATTATCTACATGATATGGTGAAAGATAACAAATATCCGATAAAATATTTAAAACATGTATAAAAGGATCAAAATATAATATTATGTTCAAAATTGAAAGTAAGACACGTAAATTGCGACGAGATAAATTATTACCCTTGAAGAGCCCCTTTGTGAGTCCACCAATGGCCAGTATTGAAAGACAAGACATCAACACCTCTCCAAGCATTGGAATTCTTAGTTATATCATCCAATTTCAGAATTCTCTTGCCTTGCACTGAGTCTATGTCTACTAAATATGGTGTTCTGTAAAATGACACTGACACTCCATAATC